AAGTGATCGGTTTAACCATTTATTTTTTATTTTATTTTTTATGATAGTCACACACAGAGAGAGAGAGGCAGAGACACAGGCAGAGGGAGAAGCAGGCTCCATGCACCGGGAGCCCGATGTGGGATTCAATCCCGGATCTGCAGGATCGCGCCCTGGGCCAAAGGCAGGCGCCAAACCGCTGCGCCACCCAGGGATCCCGCTAAAGCTGTTTTTAAGGAAGTAAGAAGAAGGGCCCCATGGAATTGGGCCCCCAACCTTGAGGAGAGTGTGCTGATATCTCTGAGGACTGGGGCCTCAAAGCTGGTTGTGCAAAAGTTGAAAAGAACCACAAAACTAGACTTTATTGCTGCTCTGTGAGGCAAGGAAGTGTCCCTGGGAGATGTACACAGGGACAGGAAAGAGACAGGAAGCAGTGAGCCCCTTCCTCCTATAGCCTCACGGTCCCCCTCACAGGCAGCCAGGGAGCAGTAGCACAGCAGACGGGTAGCCTGCAGAGTTCCAGCCCCAGCATCCCAACGCCATCCCCTAGAAGCGCAGGTTTGGAGCTGAGTGAAAATAGCTTAATGACTTGCTGTCTTAATCTATTCTGGTTGCTATAATAAAATCCCATAAACTGGGGGACTTATCAACAAGACACACTGATTTCTCAGTTCTGGAGGCTGGAAGCCCGAGATCATGGCACCAGCATGGTCAGGTTCCAGTGAGGGCCCCGTTCTGGTTATGCTATTCTCTGTACGCTCACATGGTGGGGAGACAGCGAGCCGGCTCTCTGGCCTCTTCTTGGGAGGGCACTAATCCCATGCAGGAAGGTGTAGAATGTGTGCATATCAATAAATGAAAATATCAACAGCTGGGTTAGCTTTGCGCAGGGTTTCTGCTGTCCTGGTAAGAAGAAAAAATATGTATTTGTGTATAAGCTCTGAAATACGAATTGTATAGTATCAGTGATTCCCATATGACTGAAGTGCTCTTCTATTTGCATTTAAGATGGGTATGGCATGAAATAAAAATGAATGGTAAGAAGTTGTCCCTCTGATGATAATTTTCCTGCTCTTTGAGCAAGGGGTCCCTGCATTTTCACTTTTTGCTGGGTCCTGGAGACTGGGGAGCTGGCCCTGCAGGTCTTTTGGTCTGGATTCAAAAATCTTGGTCTTCTCTGGATTCAAAAATCGTGGTCTCCACCTTCTCCTGAACTCTTTTCTTTCCTTGTGGCCCACCCTGGGCACCGGGTCAGGCTAGGCCCAGGCTCTGAGGCCATCCTCCGAGCTTCTACTGCCTTCCCTGGTTCTCTCACCTCCTCCTTTGTCCTGATCCTGTGGCCTTTCATCTCATGACTCCCTCTATACTAACATCCTCCCACCTTCTGCTGTGTGCTTAGCACGGAGTCTCTCTTTTGTTCACTTGCTGTACGTATGTACCTAGCACACAATAAATGCTCAAGAAACACTTTTTCTGCTTAAAAATTTGTTTTTTTCCCCTCTTTTTATTATGAAAATTTCAAGCATCCATAAAAATAGAGACAATAATTTAAACAACCCTTGTGGACCGTGGCCCTCTTTGTCTACATTATCCTGCATTTTCTGATCCCTCTCAGTTCATTTGTCTTTCTCTTTCGTGCTGATGGATTTCCCCAAATGCCTTGTGATTCTCGGTAGACAGCTCCCAGTTAGGAAGAAGGAACTCTGTTGCTTACTATGGAGAGCGGGTGTGGATCTCCTTTGCAGTTGTGTGGGTGTGTTGACCAGAACAAAGGCCTACTGTCCCCTGAATGTGAGGGGTGATTCTTGTTATCTCTGAGGAAGTGAGCTGGGGCCTTCCCAGGTGTGTCAGTGAGGGGCCAGCAGGCCGTCTGGGGAGGTAGGAAAAAGCAGGCAGGCAGGACTTGACAGGAGAGAGACAGAGACAGAGACACACAGAGAGAGAGACAGAGTGCTTCAGTGTTTCCCACGCCCAGCAGGGCTGCCTTTCCTTATTTTCCCTCCTGGTCAAGTGGAGAGCCACGTTTCTTGCGCTCTATCCTGCCTCCCTCCCTGCCCCAGTATCCTTGCCGCTGGGCCCCCCACAGCCAGATCTTCCACCGTTTGGAGTAATTCTTAGGGCTCCATGTGGGGCAAATACTGCTCTGTGTCTGTAGAGCCTGTTAGAGTCTTCCGAGGAATCCCCCTGACGGCCACCCACAGCACCCTCATTCTTGGCACCTGCTGCCTAAGCCCAGAGCAGCTCTGGGACCTGGAGGAGGTGAATGCAGCTGCTTAGGGTCCATACTAGGCAGCAACTTCTAACATATATCTTGGGCAGGATTAAAAAAATCTTTTCCCTTTCCCACTTAAGTTCAGGGAGTGTGTCTTCTTCTTCTCTGGCCTCCAGGGCTTACACAAAGGCCTCATGGGTCAGGTCCCAATTCCCTTGGACTTCTCCTCCAGCCCAGAGACACAGCACCAGCCTTTGTTTCAGCACCTCTGAGTTTTGGCTCCACAGGGCTCCTCCTTTTGGATATAATGTCTAAATTTTAATAATTCTAACCTCTTCCTTGTCTTCTCCCAGCCCTGGTGGGGTGTGTGTGTGTGAGTGGGGAGCTGCTTCTCCCAGTTACCACTTCTATGACACCTTAGCATTCTCTCCATTACACTTTCAGTTACCTAGTTACCAATTCTTTATATTAAATTTTCTGTTCCAGTAACTAGTGTGGTTTCTGTCTCCTGCCTGGACCCTGATTGATTCAATAGCTGCCTGAGACATCAGGTACTCCGTGCATCACAGGAAGGAGGCGTATCTCAGGCAATGGTGAAGATGGACAAGCCAATGCTCTCATGCTACTCCAGACTCAGAGAAAGTTACATTCTATGCTAAAAAATACAGTATTTAGAAGTAAGAGACTTTTTGTATATTGATGTATCAAAGACTGGATTTAAAATATACAGAGAGGGGGACACCTGGGTGGCTCAGTGGTTGAGCATCTGCCTTTGGCTGAGGTCGTGATCCTGGGGTCCTGGGATCAAGTCCCACATTGGGCTCCCTGTGGGGAGCCTGCTTCTCCCTCTGCCTGTGTCTCTGGATCTCTCTCTGTGTCTCTCATGAATTAAAACAAAAAAGAGAGATCACAACCTGAGCTAAAACCGAGTTGGACACTTAACCGGCTGTACCACTCAGGTGCCCCCAAAAGAACATATTTTATAGAAATAATTGAATTATATGTAAAACAAAATACATAAAACCAAAAGATTTTCTCAGAGCAAAAAAATACTAAGCAAATCAAAAAGCAAATAATCTTTGGGGAATACTTGCAAGTGTTCACGTCACAAAGAAGGGGTTAGTCAATGTGAAATACAAGTAGCATGTTCAAGTCAAGAAGAGACTTACAAAGCCATAGAATGTGGGCAAACGCTGTGGACAGTTCACAGAAAAGAAACACAAATGTAGTGTATAAAAACACACAAAGATACCTAGTATTATTCATGTGAAGAGAAATGTCTGTGACTTGAACATCTTTGGACATTTTGGTAAAAGTATGACAGCTATCTAGTTGCCTGAATCACTCTGGGATGCGATGCACATGAGTGTGAGGGATGTCTGCAAGGATAGATTTCTGGGCCTGTTGTTTTTATGACAAACAGACTTTTGGAGAGTTACAGATGGGCTTTGTGGATTCCTTTTTTTTTTTTTAACTTATAATCTTGAGAAGTAAGCGCACCAATGTTTCTAGGGTGCAATGTTGAAGATTCACATTTCAGTGTCAACAGAAGTCAGCAGGCAATCTTTTCCCTGTGATGAGAATCATCTCATTATACTGGTTTCTCAGTCCACTCAGGCTGTTTTAACAAAAACATCCATACACCGGGTAGCTTAAACAAACAAGCATTTATTTCTCACAGTGCTGGAGGCTGGGCATTCCAAGATCAAGGTGCCAGCAGATTCAGTCTAGTGAGAACCCACTCACTAGTTCATAGTCCTCTCTCCTGATGGAAGGGGCAAGGGAGCTCTCTTTTTATAAGGGCACTATGAGATAATAGAAAATATGCATATTGGTCTCTGCACCCTGACCCCAGCACAGAGCTCCTAAAGCCCTTGTAATTTCCTGAGTGGTAAGAACACTCAGAGCATCTCTTGTTCTAGTGTTTTGTCTTTGATCCTGTTCCTGGTTCTGGGCTCCTAAACCTTTGTAAATTTGTGAGTGATATGAGCACTAGAAGCAGCTTTCATTCTAATGAGGCAATGCTGGGTGGGCTCTTGGATGGCTCCTGTAGGGGGCTTGTCACCAGGAAACCAAATCATGATTAGAAGATGGGAGTTCTCAACCCCTGGAGAGGGGAGAAGGGCTGGAAACCAAGTTACTCATTGCTCAGCCTCCATAAACTGCCAATAGTATAGGGAGGTAGGTGAAGACATCCACAAAGGGAAGTTGAATGATCTCAACTCCTTGGGGACAGAAGCTCTGGTGCTTGGGACTCCCACATTGCTTCAATGTGACATAGCATCCTGATGGGATGCTGGACATAGTTGCAAGACTTTACATCTATTCATTATCTGATCCTCATAACCACCTTTAGGTAGATACTGTTACTATCCCTGTTTCACAGATGAGGCTCAGAGAATTTAAGTAACTTGCCAATGCCACACAGCTAATAAGTGATGGAGTTAGGAACCAAACCTAAGCAGTTGGTTACAGAGTCTGTACTCTTAACCACTGCAGGGGAAAAAAGTGCTTAATTCAGCCTTCACTACTCTCATGTGCATCTCTAGAACTGTAATGTTACTACAGCCACCACCAGCTCTGTGTGAGTATTTGAGTTTAATTAAATTGAAACAAAATTAAAAATCTAGTTCCTAGGTTGCACTTGGCCACATTTAAGATTCTCAATAGCTACATCTGGTTAGTGGCTGCTGTACTTGGCAGCACACAGAACAATTTGATCACTGATGAAAGTTCTATTGGACAGCACTTATTCTAGACAACTTTAGAAAGTATTAGCCAAACAGAAGACTCAAACTAAACAGGTATCACATGGATTTTTTTAATTAAATATCATTTCATGATGTTATTTACACCTAACACACATTTTTTTTAAAAAAAATAAGACATGCCATATCAGCCATGGAGTTAACGAAATATAAGTATCCACACAGAATCTATTCTAGGGTGACTTCATTTACACAGCTTCTTAGAGAAACATGGGGTCATTTTTTTTTCTTTTTTTTCTTTTTTTTTTTTTTTTGCCTATCAGCCACTGTTGGGCCAGATTCGGAATTCAAAAGAGTGCAGGGTGGAGGGTCTCCAACACTATCCTGATGGATGTCTTGTATACACACAGTACCAGCAAGCTGGTTGGTTTCCACCAGAAAAGCAGTGGAAACGTCAGATCTCCCTTCCCTACCCAGCAGTCAATTGCACACTATAAGAACCCCATGTGACCTGAAGCTTTAATGTGATGGCATCATAAGCCCTGTGGCTTCAAGAGGGATCCGGGGGAAGGCTGAGCTCTCACCAAAGCCCACAGGTACCAGTCTTTGCCCTGGTTCTAATGTCTGATTAGAGAACCCAGAGTCCCAGTCTTTAGAAGAGGGGGACAGAGTGAAGAGCAGAAGAAAGATCAGACAACAAGTGAAGGTTTAAGCCCAAGTTTGGTGACCTTGCCATAGGTATAGGCTGGTAGGAAGGAGAAAGACGTGTGATACTTAATATTGCTTAGAGCATTCCAGAGGGCTTGAGGAATGTCAGAGCCAAGAGAAAAAAAAAAAAATAAAGAACCAGGGCTGTGAGTAGAAAGTTGATGTCCTCTCCCCCTGTGCCAACAGTAAGTGCCACCAGCAAACAGTCCATTTATACTTGAAGACCAAGGTTGGGAGAAGATAACCCAGGACAGATTCAGAACTCTGGAGACCGAGGTTCTATGTTGTCTGGTCTTCTCGAACACTCGGATGCCTACTGCTGGCTTCCACTCAGGAAACTGCCATGCACCCTCTGCTCAGCCATCCTGTGGCCCCTTCATAGGATAATGCCACTGCCCCCAGCAGTGCTGGGGCACCGGAGGTCCAGGTCCCAGCAGCAGTGGCTGAGTGGCATTGAAACCACCAGTTGGCCAACCTGAAACTATGATGCACTTTCATCCACTCGTCTCATTCTTGCCTGGCTTGAGACTAAAGGGCTCATGGTTTGAAAAGGGAAGAGGTGGACTGAGGTTGGGAGCACATAAAACCCCCAAATGATCACCAGGGCCTGACACACTTCAATGGATTCCCTGCCTACCTTCCATTTATCCACTCTGCCCTCATCCCTTATCCCAGCTCACCTTAGAAAAACCACCTAGAAAATCTGAATAACCGTAAAACCAGATTTAATTCCCCTTTTGTGTTTTGTTCCAGTGAGCTGACGGCTTGACCTTGAAAAGTGACTTTTATCATCCCTTCAGATTGTCTCTCTATACTCTGCATCAAGCCTCCTTTCCAATCAGTGCTGACCCTGCCATTTTCTTCCTTATGAATCATCAATGGCTCCCACGCTCTCTGTGATACCCCTTGATCTTCAGCAGGCATTCAAGGCCTCCATGATTTGGTCTCTTTCCAGGCTCAGCTCCCACCACTCTCTCTACCTCTCCTTTCTTTGCCAACATCCACTCCCTATTTCTGTGCCTTTGCAAATGCTGGCCCCTTGCCCCTCTGCCTGGAGGGGTGGTCGCCCTGCTTTCTATGCTTTGCTCAAATTTTAGCAAGGTTTGCCCCCATCCATGAGTGAAGCCCAAATCATCTCCGATTCTTTTTATTTTTTTAATTAATTTAAAATTAATTTTTAAATTTTATTTTAAGTGAACTCTGTGCCACACATGGGACTCAAACTCATGACCCTGAGATCAAGAGTCATATGCCCTACCGATTGAACTGGCCAGGTGTCTCAAAATCACCTTCAATTCTGAATACCCTGTTGTGGGCTCGCAGTCTGACCTTTAGAAGGGCCCCGGTAACTGTCCTTTTTCTGCGCACTATTGCAATGTGCACCTCTCATGGTTTCCTGGGTGTGTGTCTGTAGGGCAGGGATCATTGCTGTTCTTTGTAGCCTTCACCATTCAAATGTTCTGTTTGTTTGTTAAGATTTTTTTCCCATGGGGGGGGGAGTGAGAGCATAAGAGCAAGTAGGAACAGGGGTGGGGAGGGGCAGAGGGAGAGGGAGAAGCACACTCCCCGCTGAGCAGAGAGCCCCATGTGGGGCTTGATCCCAGAACCCTGAGATCATGATCTGAACCGAAGGCAGACACTTAACCAACTGAGCCACCCACGCGCCCTCATCCAAATGCTTATTAACACACCACAAATGCCTCTCAAACGTTGAATTGAGTGGATACCTATCCTGAAGAAAACAGGTCATTGTCTGTTGCCTTCTTAGGCAAGTAAGCCAACAATACGGAAGAGGTTAAGACAGAATACCTAAGTGGTTATCACGAGCAGCAGATGCCAGTGTTTGAAGTCAAGGTAGTAAATCGGTATTAAGCACAATCCATAAAGGTTAATGATCTATCAACACTGGTCTATTAACACTGTGATCTCCCCTATTAGCTAAAGAGTACCCAGGGAAACATTACGCGTAGTTCTACTAAGTAGTAATCACTGGATGGATAAATGCCACCGATCCTATGGGAATTATTTGATCTGCCAAATAAACCCCGGACAGGAAACAAGGACTGGTAATTCCAGCTCTCCAGCAGGGGTGTGTTGGCCCCTGGAGGTTTTAGCAGACCCTCTCTCGATCAGTAGGCTTTCGAGGTGTGTGATCCCTGGACTGCCTGCATCAGAACAACCTGTGCGGCCAGATCAGAACGCAGCCTCTCGCTCCTCCCCATCATTCCCACTTAAACAGAGCGTCTGTCCTTGGGGAGTAGGAATCTGCACACTCCCTAGGGGGTCCTTATGCTAAAGTTTGCAAACCCTTACTTGCCATTCTCAGAAGTATACAGTCAGTCTAGGGAGGGACAATCATGGATGTAGCCTGAAAGGAAGCAGTGACCCCTTACCAAGAATGCCCGCTTTCCCAGACATGTGTGCCTGGGAACGAGGACCCAAAGTCTCGGTCAACTCCAAGGAAATTAACCGATAATTCAAGCTTCGTTTGATGGAGACTGTCTCTGAGGTAAGTGCCCTAGCTTCCCAGAGGCCCTTGCTGTGCAAGAACATACACATAAAACAGCCAGATTTTCTGCCTATCTTTTTCTAAGTGGTGCAATCACTTCTTATAAGATGAAAAGGGATTTTTCTTCCTTCATGTTTATGGGCTAACGTATCATTACCCCTGCTCCTGTCCTTACTTTCCTCCTACTCTTAACTTCTCGGTTCCTTTGGTGGGGAGAAAAAGCAATTACATAGTTCACAGAACCAAAACCAAATTAGGTTTCAGAGCAGATCTAATGTAAGCACATCAAGCATGTTTTCACTAGAAGGGCAGGGAGAATTGGAAGGCAGAAGTGCATTTCCTACAGGTGGATGATAGAATGTCCCCAGGGCTGGCCTACTATGCCTTGTGATGACTACACAAATGTTACTGGAAGTACGGGAATCGTGAGACAGGGAGGATCAGGCAAGGGAAGATTAGATTCAGAGGTCTCCAGCCTTTCACTGGATGTGGAAAGTGAGAACGGAATCTCTGCCTTGCTTCAGCTCCAAGGAATGTGGCAACCTTTGGTCACTGACGGAGGAAGCTCAGTTACCACCCTCGGGGATGCTTTCCGGGAGCTGGCTGGGCAGTACCAGGCAGAGTCTGAACTCCGCACTTCCCCCGGGGAATACTGCTTTCGTCCCCCTCACCCCACCCTGGTCACCTGAAATCTCCGAGACCAAGATCATGTGTTCTTTGCTAGAGACAATGGCTCTTCGAGATCCCCTTCTAGAGAGTTCTCGGTTTAAGAGATTAAAATGTGAAAGGCAAAGTTTAGGATTCAGGGTTGAACCACTGACGGCTTGAGAGCAGTTATAAATGGAGGGAAGGAGAGTCTCCTTCGAGGTGGGCTCATTCCTTCTTGGTGTGTTCCAGGACTCGGTAGGGAACCCCAGAGGCACCCCCAGAGCTGTGTTCCTCTTGCATAACCGGCAGCGTGGCAGGAGCGTAGATCTCAGAAACGTTGTCATTGTTTTCCAGGGCCCCATAGGAAAAAGAAGCTTTGAGGTCAGGCTGAACTGTCATTCCCTTGTCATGCATGTTTTGCATACCTGAAATGAAATCCATTTTCTCCAAATCATTAGGTGGTAAGGGGGCCAAAGGAGACTGCACCGTCCCCCTCCCCACCACAGACTCATTACAGTGCTCAGGCACCAGTCACGTGCCTTGCCAAGTTCCTGAATGCTTTAGATCGGAAAAACAACACCCTTAAGTATATGCTAGCAATATTACGGTTGCTAAGCAACGAGGGATGAATCTTCAGGAAATATGCACACAGGCCAGCCACTGTCAAGATAACCATGGGTTGGCCTAGAATGAGGTGGGAATGTGGGGGGGGGGGGGCAGAGGGAGCAGAACCAGCACTGTGCTTTGAACGTGGTAGATGCCAATACTTCTCTACCGAATGCAACCAGGATCCAGAACACTTCCTTATCCCCTAAGAGGGTAACTTTCGTGTCATGGACACGTGGGGGTGGCAGATGCAGCAGGACACTCACAGGGAGATGCTCTGGCCTTTAACAGTTAACATCCCTGATCCTCACAGAGGGTAGGTGAGATTCTCTCTGTTGCTTCTGGGCACATGTTGATGTTGGATTTCTACTTAAAGTTGAGAGAGAAGATTTTAATCATTAATTCTGTTAGCCTTACTCTACAGTTCCTGGTCTTGGAGGCCAGCTCTCTCCCTGGCAGGGAAGGAAGACTTCAAATTCTCTTAACCCCAGGCTGTCCTAAGAGACTGAATGCAAAGCGTCCTCTCTTAGACTATGAAGATAACAGCAGGTGCCGGACTACTTACTACGCCCAGGCTCTGGGCTGAGGGCTTTAGATCTCGATAGTAACAACAGAAAGCATGAGAATAGCTAACAGGTACCTGAGTGTTGAGCTGATGGCAGACCCCTGTTCTAAACAGTTGAGAAGTTTTATCTCATCTGATCCTCACAAGTAACTGATAAGAAAAATGAGGCAGTTAGAGGTTAGGTAACTTGCTTGATGTCACAAAGCCAGCAATCTGGCAGTGCTGGGATTTAAGCTGGGGGGGGGGGGATTTGAATGCGGAAGCCCACACTTAACTGGAATGCTATAGGGCCTCCCTGTGTACTTCGCTGAACCTCCGCCTCCCCACAAATCCTATCCTCAGCATCTGGATAAGAACACAGATTTTAAAAGGTAAAATTACTTGCTCGAAGTCACACAGCTGGGCCCTGACACCAAAGCCCATCCCCTTGTCCACTACGTGAATGGCTTGCAAAGATTGAGTTTTCATGTAGGTAACACAAGCCTTAGCTGATGGTCATTTGAAGGGTACAGTTTAAGAATGTGTGGTTTGGATTTTGGAGTTGGGGGGGTTGGGGAGGAGGCTTGGGGGAAGTTAAGGGGATGCCTGTTCCTTAGGAAAAAGGGTTGGCTTGCCAGGCATGATTTAGCTTTTGGATTTTTTCAGTGTTTCTCAGCCAAACAGTGGCAGGACTACGCCTATAGCCTAACAGATGTGGGTTTTTTGATGCACTGCAATGAGGGAGATGTCCACCCCAAGGGACTGTGGGATGTCTCAGTAACAGGGTGTGAGAAGAGACAGGATTTGGATTTGTAGACAATTTTGGGGACAGTTTAAGGAAGCAGGGCTTTGCTTTGGATTAGATGCTGTTGGGAAGTGGGGCTAATTTTGCAATTGGGGATCTTAATAATTCTTACGCAGATGGAGAGAAGGCTGTGTTGAGGCTAAAGCTGTAACTGGTAAAGAGGCTGTGGTCACTCGTGTTGGGGGGATGGTCAGTCCTCCATGGTTCAAAGTTTAGGTGTTGTTTTTTTATTTTATTTTATTTATTTATTCACGAGAGACATACAGAGAGGCAGAGACATAGGCAGAGGGAGAAGCGGGCTCCCCATAGGGAGCCCGATGCGGGACTCAATCCCAGGACTCTAGGATCATGACCTGAGCCAAAGGCAGATGCTCAACCACTGAGCCACCCAAGTGCCCAATGGTCAAGTTTTGCCCATGTTCCTGTGTGACAATGGAGTGCTCCTATTTGTGTCTTGATCTGTCATGGTTGGGGTGGCCCTGCCTGAGGCTGATGTGCTGTGAAATTGTTTATTTTCAGTTAGGGAACACCAAGGTCCAGCTGTGAGTGCCAGGCCAGCTCCCAGCTATCAGGACTGCTTTTTCTTTTTTCATTTCATTTCCACTTTTTCTTCTCTCATTCATTTTTTTCACTTTTTTTCAGGTGCTAGAATTATTTAAACCCTCTCTAAATTGTGACATGTAGTATACTTTTTTGGAAATAGAATGCCTCTTGAACTGTAGCTATTGGACTGTTGTACAGATACCAATCTAGATAGACCAAAAGCAAGGTCTGACTCTGGGAAACCAAGTAGCTAAGAAAGACACTCTGCTTAAGCAGTTTTATTTTTTAAATTTTAATTAATTTACTTCTAATGTTTAAAAAAATTTATTAAGTAATCTCTATACCTAATGTGGGGCTCGAACTCATGACCCTGAGATCAAGAGTCACTGCTCTTCCAACTGAGCTAGTCAGGCGCACCCTTCATTTTTATTTTTTTAAAAATATTTTATTTATTTATTCATGAGAGACAAGAGAGGGAGAAAGAAAGAGAGGCAGAGACCCGGGAAGAGAGAGGGAGAAGCAGGCTCCATGCAGGGAGCCTGATGTGGAACTTGATCTCTGGACTCCAGGATCACACCCTGGGTATGATGGTGCTAAACCGCTGAGCCACCCCGGCTGCCCTTTTCTTTTTTTTTTTAAACTTTTGTTTTTTTAAAGCAGTTTCATTTTTCATGTTCTACCTGGCATCAGATCAAACAAGTGTTTGGAATTTCTGAAGTTTTTTTTAAAGCAAAAGGGACGTGAACCCAAATTTAACCAGGCATCTACCAAGTCCCAAACACTGTGCAAGGGGCCTTTAACATATTATCCCACTTCCCTAAAAGAAGGAATCCCAATTTACAAGTGAGGGTCAGAGGCCTTGGGAGGTCCAAGGGCATGCCCAAGGTCACACCGTGGGTGGGTAATAGAGCTGGGATTTGAATCCAGGCCACCTGAACTTCAAGCCCATGCTTTGCATTGTACAGAACACGTCTACTCGGAAGTGTCCTGACATGCCACAGCACTGGGGCAGGGTCTCCTTTTGTGAAGATCTGACTTCTACCGGTCGCGAGGTACAAAGAGGAAGCCGGGAGCCACATCCACAAACAGACCACGGAATATTGATATGTAAGGTTACCTTAGGTTACCTTCTATTTTCCACTAGCAGATCTGTATATATGCATATACAAATACTTATAGAGATATATACACATACAGTTTGTAAACATACAAACACACATATACATACACATACTTGCACACACACAGAGTTGACACCTCACCTATCTGGAATTCAGCTATCCAGCGCCCTCATCTATCCGGGACACAGCCGAGAAACAAGGAAGTAAGCAAAAAAGGCATCTGAGCAGCCAGATTAGAGGTTTTAAAAGTCCATGCACTAAAGCTCATGCATTTAACTACTAGGAGAAAGCTTAAGGCCCCAACTCAGAGCTTGTTTATTCTAATTTTATACACAATTCCAACAAGTGGGGTCAAAGTGAGAGGTTTGACCTGGAACTGCTATACACAGGTGAGCTAGTAATAGCATGAATGACAGACCACAGTTTGATAGCAAGGGATGAGGAAATAATATAGAAGTAGGCACATAAACCTTGGGGCCATTTAGAGGAGGGGCACCTCAGTTGGCCATGAGAACACACCTGTATCCCAGAGTACTTTGTTAAGCAGTACCATATGCCAGCAGTGGGGTTATAGTTTGCCCATTAGGGTGTCTTAATGAAAGGTGGGCGTTATTTTCTAGAGAGAGTTCCATCTTTGTATCTAAAATAAAAATCAATTTTGCCTTAAAGAGCAAAAGCCAGTGGTCACTGGTAACCTACAGAATTTAGGTCAGCAAAACCTGGGTTAACTTTCCTAATCTGGGTCCCTTTGGGCTGGGGGCAGGCACCCTCCAGTTCTCCATAGACTCAGCCACTCCCTTCTGCACAATACTCTGCAGATTCACACCTCTGTTACTGTCACGGACTAAAGGCATTTGAGCTTGTGCTTCTCCGTGTGAGCTCCCAGCAACTTGGGAAATTAAGCTTTCCAGAACAATCCACTCTCTTGTGGCATCTAAGAAGTGAGGTGATAGTATCTGAATGTTACTCATCCAATCTTCTTTCCTATCTCTGGCCATTCCTTTCCAACTAGGTGAATGGATTCTTTTCCTTTCACAGACATGAAGCCTGATATACAGGCCATAATTATATCCAGTGTAAATCAGGACTGTCTTTAAGAGAGCCCAAAATAGACGTGGGAACTGGCAAGATGGGCTCAAAACCAACTGAGGTGCCTCAACCATTGCCTCCTATTTGGCACAGCGAGATTTAAGAAAAAGAGAGGGAGAGAGAGAGACAGTCACACCATGACGGCACAGCACACCTGCCCTGTACCAAACCCAGCAGCTAGTTGTCTCTTTTTAAATAGGAAGTAGCAGTCATTCTATATGGATGGGCTGGCTAGCTGGGCACATAGGATTTTAACGTTACCTGGCATGGCATCCATGGAAATATAGGGCTCAAATGGAATGGCCTTCTTCCTGTTACGTGTGATTAAGAAGACGCCCAAGAAGGCAATGAGGCACCTGAGGAACAGAGAGGAGGGAGAGAGAGAAGAAAGGCCAGAGTGAGGGTGAGAGGGCTCACCTTACAACCCAGGTAACAGGAAACAGGGGAAAAAAGGGCTGCAGGCTGCAGAGAGGGGCTTGTTGCTGAGCAGACTGGGGAGGCTGCCTGCCTGAGATGGGCAGGGAGCAGATGCAAGATAAATAACAGCTTCATACGCCTTTCATGCTGCACTGCATTGATCAGAATGAATTAGACTCTGCCAGGCAAAACTCCCATGGCTCTTCACTTCCATTTAGCCTGTATCTTAGAACCTTGCCTTAAAAAAACATTTTTTTAAATAAAAAAAGTTCTTTATGCAATCAATACAGAAGGAGAGTAAGAAAAAGTTAGAAAGTCCCTGAACTCCCCCTGGTCCCACTCCCCCAGGTAGGTGTGTATTCCTCTAGAGTCTTTTCACCCCTTTCTCCTAGAACTTAAATAGGAACACTTCCTAAAAACTGAGGTGTTGTTTACATGCACAAACCCTAAATGTAGTGCTTGATTAATTGTACCTGTGTGTATACTTTTGTGATTACTACCTAGGTCAACAGAGAAGACATTTCCATCCGCTCCACCCCAGAGGGGTGCCCCTCCCAATCCATGCTAACCCAGAGGAAGCCACTATTCTGACCTCTATCACCCAATACTTGATTTGCCTATTCTTGAACTTCTTTATTTTATATTTTAAAAGATCTATCTATTTATCTGGGGGAGAAAGAGAGGGGGGGGAGAGGGAGGTGGGTGGGGCAGAAGGAGAGGGAGAAAATCTCAAGCAGATTGCCCAGTGAGTGCAGAGCCTGACCCAGGGCTCAATCTCATGACCTGAGCTGAAACCAATAGTTGAGCACTTAACTGCTCTACCCAGGTACCCCATCCTGTTCTTGAACTTCTTATAAGTTAAATCATACAGTGTGTACTCTGGTTTCTTTCACTTGTAAATGTTTTTAAGGTTCATTCACTTTATTGTATGTATTAGTAGTTCATTATTTTTAATTGTTATATTGAATCCATTGTCTGAATAGGCTATATCATCTCTCCTGTTGATAGACATCTGGGTTGTAACCAATTTGAGTATATGATGAATAAAGCTATTATAAATATTCAGGTAGAAGTCATTTTGTCAATATATGTATACATTTCTTTTGAACATACATCTAGATGCATTACTTCTAGATCATAGGGTAGACTATACATTTAAAAAAATCTAATTTTTTCCATTTAATGTATCCTACACATGGTTTGATGTCAGTATCTATAGACTGGCCTCGATTTTTCAAAATGACAGCATGGGACTTTATTATATGAACATCCATAATTTATTTAACTGTATCCTACTGCTGGGCATTTAGGCTACTTCTAATTATTCATTTACACAATTAATTTTTAAATTAATAAACAGCCTCATCCATGTGTCTTTGTGTCCCATTTGGAAGGTTGCATCAAACATTGCTCATTTACAATTTTTATTGACATTGTCAAATTGTCCTCTGGTATTAAAGATCTGCTCAGTGTGGCAGTGAGCTGGTCTCCTCATCTTCTTGCCAACACGGATATTATCAATCTTGTTAGTTTTTGCAAAATGATGGCATCTCATGTGGCTTCAAAATATATTTCTGTGATCTGGGGTGAGGCTGAGAGTCTTTTCATGTGTCAAAATGGGATATTTTAGAAATGACAAAGAGATTAAAGCCCAAGGAAAAGAATGGGGAAGGAGATAAAGCCCTTTGGGGAGTAAAATGCTCATTTATCTCTGGGGGACAAAGCTCTGAGTCCTGGCTGCTCCCCTGGCTCTAGAGGGTCGCCTGAGAGGCGGAAGCAGTAGTGAGGACAGAGAGGCAACCACCCCAGTGCAAACCACCCCATGTGGCCAGAGAACAGGAACTCACCCCAGTGCAAACATGCAGATGTGCAGTGCATCTTCCCCAATGAAGTCCAGGTAAAATACTGCACCTGGAGCAGCAGATAATAGAAAATACAGGTGAGCTATTTTCAAATCACCTCCTTGCCAGTCTGTCTAGGATTCGGTAAGCTCTCTTCCCTGCAGGAAACCAAAGTGCTCAGAAACATGATGACCAGCAGGGTCCACATTAGAAGAATGTAATAAAAGCCATTTAGGGGGACAGATTACCTTCTCTTTTTCCTTCTATACCCTTCTTACCTTCATCTTTTTTTCCTTAACTTTTTATTTTGAGATAATATTAGACTCACAAAAATAGGGAGTTTGCATGGACCGTGCACCCAGCCTCCCCTAATGAAACATTGTAGGAAATAAACTGCAGACCTCATTTACCACGTTTTACACACACCTTCGCCCATGGTTTTTGTTTTTTGTTTTTATTTTTAGATTTATTTATGTATTTGAGAGAGAGAGGGAAAGAGACAGAGAGAGGGTGCACGTGTGTGCGTGAGTGAATGGGGTAGGGAAGGGCAAGCAGAAGAGAGAGAGAACCTGTTAAGAAGACTGGGTGCTGAGCAGGAAGCCCAATGAGGGGCTCAATCCCAGGACCCTGAGATTAGGATCTGAGCCAAAATCAAGAGTCTGATGCTCAACCAACTGAGTGACCCAGGCCCCACTCTCTAGTCTTTCTTTTCTTTTCCTTTCCTTTCTTTTCTTTTCTTTTCTTTCTTCTTTTTTTTTTTAAGATTTTATTTATTTATTCATGAGACACACACACACACACACACACACAGAGAGAGAGAGAGAGAGAAAGAGAGAAAGAGAGAGGCAGAGACATTGGCAGAGGGAGAAGCAGGTTCCAAGCAGGGAGCCTGATGTGGGACTCGATCCTGAACTCCAGGATCATGCCCTGTGCCAAAGGCAGATGCTCAACCCTAGAGCCACCCAGGCATCCCTCTCCCATCTTTCTTAAGATGGAAAAGCAAGGCTTCGTGTTAAGCTATCAGAGCCTTCTAACCTTGCATGGTCAGCAGATGGCAGGCCTGCAGGCCCGCTCCTACGGCGTTAGAGTGACAAGCGCTTGTGACCCTCAACTGCCCTGTAGCCAGTGTCTATCTGGACTCATTTCACCTCTAGGGGTTTCGTGGTGTATCCTCAGCTCCTGATTCCCACCCAGTTTCTGCCTCCATTGTGCTATTGGCTATTCCTTTCAACCTTGACTGGACTCAGGGTCTTGACCATGACCTAAATCTTCACACTGGGTCCACTTTCTGGCTGCTTTGGGTCAATGCCCCACTGGATCCGCAGTACTGCTCATGGCACAGGCCCTGGAAGGCCATGTGCCTATCTTGTTCTTGCCTCTGTGAGCAGGATTTGGGCACTGATTGTCTAAAGCGTAGTGCAAAACATACGGCTTTAGGGCCAGGCTTTCCTCAAAGGGAGGCACACTGGCTCTTACTGGTCTTTTCACTTTAAAGATTTTAGTCTTCATTGCCCTTTAAAAACCAAAACATTCTGATAGGCTTGCAGCCTCTGAAGCTACTCTACCCATCTAGAAAGTAGGGGTGGAGTAAAAGAAAGGGGGAATATAAAAATGATGACAGGTTACCCAGCACCTATTACACTGCAGATGTTTCATATGTCATGTCCTCTAGAAATTGTAGAGAAGAAATCTGTGGTCACTTAGTCAGTGGAGCTAGTAGACGGTGGCAAAAAAATCGTTAAAGAAACCCTGTACAGGGATGCCTGGATGGCTCAGCGGTTGAGCATCTGCCTTTGGCTCGGGTCCTGATCCTGGGATCCAGGATCGAGTCCTACATCGGGCTCCTTGCGGGGAGCCTGCTTCTCCCTCTGCCTATCTCTGTCTTTCATGAATAAATAAATGAAATCTTTAAAAAAAAAAAGAAATCTTGTACAAGCTGTACCAGGTACATTTGCACATATTTCAATTCTGGGAGGTGCGTGTTATTACTCCTATTTCGTGAACATGGAACCGAGGCTGGCTCAAGGAGGTTAAGTGATTTTCCTAGAGCCACACAGCTGTATGTCTGTGCTGGGGTGCAAACCCAGGTCTCTCTGGCTCAAAATTCTGTACTTTCTTCTGAAGACACATACAACTCTCACAGGTAAAACATGTCAGCAGAACTGGCCTTTTGACAGAGCCTCATCCCTCCACATTGGGGTAACGTCCCTGCTGCTAGGGTAGGAGATAGAAATCTAGTAGTCACCACCCTTACCTGCTGTGATGGCAATGGTAGTGGACAGAATGTAGCCCACGCTGGCAATCAAAGAGGAGTCGTACATCTGTGAGGCTTGACTTAAAAACCTTCAATACAAGAACACTCTGGTCAGTGGGCGTGTCAGAAAGGCTGAAGTGACAGCTGGTGACAGTAGGCTTAGCTTGAAATATGAAGACAGCACATGAAAGAAGGATGCCACCCCACTGCATCTCTGGGTCCTGGGTCCACACTTCACTCCCATTTTCCCCTGGACACACAGCCTGTTCCCCACACAACGGCCATGTCCTGCCGGCCTCACACCTCTGACCATGTGGTTCTTGTCACCTGAAATGCCTTTGTCCTCACATCAGTGTCCCCTGTGTCCCCAACCCCCTACGAAGGGCCATCCTGTTCTCACAAACAGTCCAAAAAAAATCATACAGCACTTATCACATTTTGCCTGTCACTGTCATTATTTTTTTTTATCATTTTTTTTAAACAAATACTCTTCTTCCTGAAAAAATCATGTGCTCACTACAATAAATGCAGGAAAAAGGGAGAAAGAAAATTAGAATCATTCCCACTCTCTCCATCTAGGATACACAATCCCTCATTTCAGAATATATTCTTTGTTCATCCTCTGTGTAGCATTTTAGGTATTACTACTAGTTGCCTTACAGTGACATATTTCCCACTCCATTGTACTTGTCTGTTTACAGGACTAGGAGAGACCGAAGGACGGTGACTATTGGTCCTGCCTCTGTGTGTGGGAAGCCCATGGGCCTGGCAACAGGAGGCCCTCGGTGGATGTGTGGATGTGTGCTGACTGGGTGAGTGAGATGCTCCCCAGGAGGCAGGCGAGGCGTTGGATTCACCTCTGTAACCCTGGAGTGCTCAGCACAGAGCCCGGTGCTGGGTGGGCTCAGGGGTGAATGACCAGAATCTCTGTATAGGACTCAGGACAGTAATAATCAATATAATAATAGTTACATAATCATAAAAGAGGCTGAGATTTTTGGGAGGTTATCCTGGGAACAGCTCTGAGAGCTTCATGCTTCTTTAAGGAAGGGGCTGTTGTTATTCTCACTTGTGGACAAGAAATCTGATCCTAGAGAAGCTGAGGCAGAGGCCTGGAGTGGAGGGGTATAGGGCGTGGGTTGGGGAGCCTGATGCCTGGGTTCACACCTCTGCCCTGCCCCTTTGGTTTCTCAAACGCAAAATGAGGATGGCATCATCTGCTTCAAAGGGGTTTTGTGGGGGTTAAATGAATTTAAGTTCATGTGAAAGTGGGGTGTGTGAGCAGCTTCCACTGGTACCCCCACAGCAGCAGTCACTCCAACAACTGCTCGAGGCCACTGCTGGAGGATGGTGAGCCCAGGCCACCAGAGTCTGGGGCCTGCCCTGCCCAGGATCAATCAGCCTCATGTGCCACACTGAGCCCTGTGCAGCAGGGCCATCCGGGCCCTCTCAGACACTCTGCTGGGCACTGGGTCTCAGATGGGGACAAGGCCCAGGCCTACCCTCAGGCCTACCAGTTCTGAGACAGAAATGATCATCTCACTCTTGGGGAAGACTTCTTGAGGACAAGAAGTGACAACTTGCTGTTTCCCACCTAGCGGACAAATAGGTGCCTCATGGGGACTACACAGCTTCTTCTAGAGTCCCTGAAATAGATGCCTGCCTTGGAGCAGAGGGGAAGTGAGGCCACCTCTGATCTCGTACTTCTCACAGTTTGAGGCAGAGAGAAAAACACATCCACTCCAGGCTTTGTCTTTCAAGCTGCACAGAGTCCTTCCATGTGACAACTCAGCAAATCAGTGGCCCCTCTCTCTAGAGTAGACGCTGAACTTTGGTGACAGGCTGTGTCTACATGTTTTGCCTTCCCTACAGCTTCAAAAACACATGAAATCATGCCCAAAAAAGGGCAGAGACCCATAAGGAGAGGCCCAGCAGGAAAAGAACTTGCCACTCACGCAGCCTGGTAGACAGCGGTGGCCACCATGCACACGAACATCACGTAGAAGATGGGGTAATCGAGCTGCAGGTTCCCCTGTATGGACAGGACGAGCATCCCAGCCACGGCCTTCACTGTCACCACCGTCATTGAGCCTGCAGAAGGTGAACGAGGACGAAGGGAGGGAGTTACACCCTGGAAGTCAGTTTATGACTCCTAAGGACTTGGCAAAAAAAAAAATGGAGGGAGCCACCCTGGTGATGACGAAGATGCCATCTGCATCAGATCTCATACTCCTTCCATGAGTTGCCCGCTCTGTGCTACATCCAAGAAGAGAGGCAAGCAAAATACCAACAGATGCTTCCAAATGTCACCTCTGAATTCCAGCAAGAAAAGGCATTGAGTCTAAGTTTCTGAATAGCAGAGGGATGGCGCTTTGCCTGGAACGTCAAAACAATCGTTAAATGGATAAATGAACTTCCTCTGAGTATCATTCTCATGGCAAACACAGGGAAAAAAAAACATGTGGTGTGTAAAGAGCGCTCTCTCTCTGTCTATTTAAAAAAACTGAGGAGCACCTGGGTAGCTCAGTGGTTGAGCATCTGTCTTTGGCTCAGGGCATGACCCTGGGGTCCTGGGATTGAGTCCCGCATCGGGCTCCCTGTAGGGAACCTGCTTGTCCCTCTGCCCATGTCTCTGGCTCTTTCTGTGTCTCTCATGAATAAATAAAATATTTAAAAAAATTTTTTTAATGCTCACTCACTTGTACTTTTAAAAATATTTCATGAGACAGAGGTCTCTGAATGTTTTTGAATCCTACCCCTATGCACATGCATGCACATACTTTTCAAAATATTCATGTCTGTGCATCTTAAAGGGCTACTCATATAATACTGTACTTGTATGATTTGCACATTATAAAAATATGCAGGAAATATCACTGCTCACCTCACTGTGGGGGCCACTGCTTCACTCAGTGGTGCAGAAATGATTAACTAAATCGTCAGAACCCCCTGCCAAAGCAGGAGTTAAGAGAAACCACCCCAAGTACAGGTACAAATGAAGCCCCTCATTCCGGCTAAAATGTTGTGCTTTCCTATTTTTCTCGGTTTCTATTGGTTTTCCCTCTTGCCAACAGCCCACCACACAGTAGCTTCTGGACCGCCCAGGGACCTAGATGACAGCTTCCAAACATCAGTAGTTACAACATTTTCATGAGGGTGTCTCTGTTAGTGAGAAGGGGACAGAAGGAGCGTGCCCTTAGAGCCTTCTGGCATTCCTACTCACCAGGGAGGACATTTGGGGACCATGAACTTCCAATCTTCTTGAAAAATCACCAAGGAATGGACCCCCGATATAAGCTACTACTCAAGGGACAAACCTCTAAAGCATTATGCTCAGTGAAAGATGCCAGTCACAAAAAAAGCCACGTATTATAGGATTCTGTTTATACTGTATACTTTAAAGAGGTAAATTTTATGGTATGTAAATTATATCTCAATAGAGCACTTTAAAAAAAAATCAGGGAGTTGGGTGGCTCAGTGGTTGAGCATCTATCTGTCTTCAGCTCAGGTTGTGATCCCAGGGTCCTGGGATCGAGTCCCACATCAGGCTCCTTGCAGGGAACCTGCTTCTCCCTCTGCCTCTGTCTCGCGTCTCTCATGAATAAATAAATAAAATATCTTAAAAAATAAATCAAAATAATGGAATCTTGTCCTACAATGGCCCCTGTCTGTCACTGGAGTGGCTGAGGGCCTGTCACTGGAGTGGGGGCTCGGTATAGGAAGGACAGAAGACCCACCACATGTCTCAGGCACTTGTGCCCCTCTCACTAAAGCCTGCTCTCCCCCCTGAGATTTGGGTGTTCTCCTGTGCCTATTTTTAGAGGACAGTGCGGCTTACACGGGAAGGAGTCACCAGCCTGAGGCCACAGAGTCCCCAGGAGGCAGCAGTGGGGTTCCCCCCACCTCTTCGCTGGGAGGCACGAGCACCTCTCATAGCTCAAGTTAGCGTATCAAACCCCGTGCAGGGCCAGGCCTCGCCTCAGTCTGATGGAGGAGCCATCTGCCACACTGAACTCATCCCTCTGGAAGGAGAGGCAAAAAAGTGAGGGAGCACAAGCAGTTCCTGCTTTTGACTCCAGAACTCGTTCCCAGCCTAACAGGTTCACTGGAGCCCCAAGGGCCGGGTTGCTGGGGCCTGCCCTGCCTCTGTCTTCTCTGGAAGGACTCCTGCCCCACCCCACCCTTACTCTGCTTCCCTCCTCTTCACCGGCATCCTCACTGCCCCGACTCACCTAGCACCTCTGCATCTGTCTACTTGCCTGCGGGCCAATCCTCCCTTCAGACTGGAGCCCCCGTTCCTAAGGCCGGGGGGCCGTCTGGCTCATTCACCACCATGCCCGGTTTCCAGCACCATCCCTGGCACTTAGAGGCCTCTCGGGATTTGAGCAAAGGACACTGAACGTAGTCAGCGGCCTTACAGAACTGAAGGAACTGATGGAAGACCCTCGGGTCAGCAGGGACCTCGTGGCGCCCCCTGATGGTGGCAAACCTGGATCCCTCAGACCCCCCCCCCCCCCTTACCAAGTAAGGCCACCAGGAGAAGAATCACGATGATGTTGTTGGCGTTCTTCTCCTTGTAGAAGTACAGCAGCAGGCAGAACAGGATGATCTCCACGAGCTGTGTGAAAGCAGCAAGCAGGGCAGTCAGCGGGGAGGGGGCCGAGGACCTGGGCAAGACCGGGAGATGCTGGTGGGCTGCGCAGGAGTTTATGCTGAGAGTCAGGCTTGAAAGGCTGCTGATACATCCAGCATTTCCCAAACTACTGATTGACACCCGAGGGGAAAAGGAGGGAACTCTGAATGCACTCGGAGGGAAACTCTACCCCTTCCCTGGGTAACACCAACAAGGAGTTCACCTTGGAGCTTTGGGGGTGATATGCTGGCCTCACACGCACCCCCTCCATCTCATCTTAGATGGCCAGGATCCATTGGGCTGAGAAGGTTTCTTCCCGCTTTTGCTGCTCTGTGGTAACCCCATTAAAACTGAAGGTCAAAGAGGGAGACACTTGTTCACTGAGCAGAGGAGCTCCCTGGTCTAAGTGGACAGATATACACGCCCTCATCCCCTAACCAAGCCTCCAACATGTGTGGCTCGGTAGGGTAGAAAGACAAGGGTATTTGGAGTCAGGGAGGCCCAAGTTGGATACTGGATCTGCTTCTAAAATGGTTGTGCGACCTTGGGTTAAGTTGCTTAACTGCTCAAACCTCAATTACCTCCTCTGTGAAAGACAGATAAGGATTTTTACTTTTCAGGGCCATGATCCCAGCTAATACTTTTAAATACAGAGCCCTCCGTACTAGGGCTCATTCAATCAGCAGAACAATTCTACGAAGCTGGCACTATCACAATTCTCAGCCAATAAAAGGGCAGAGCTGGATCTGAACCTAGAAGGTGTGGCTCCTGGGCCTGTACGCTTTCCCACCAGGCAACAAAGCCTAAAGGCAGGAGGCCTAGGAAACGGGGATTAGAAGGGGTTCAGTCAGTAGTTGCAATCACTGCAACTGTGAAGAGAGTGTTCCCTCCTTGCCTTAAAGACCCTCCTCGCTACCCCTTAAGGGCTCGAAGTCAGGCCAGTGCCAGCACCCAGCAGAAGACAGCAGGAAACCTTGATGGGGCTCAGCTCCAAGTGCCTACCCCAACCTCCCACTGGAGTTTCTTTATCATGAAAACCAATGCAGAAACATTAATGGGCATTCTAAAAAGTTTTTAAATTCCTCATAATTAGATACCATTAAAGACACCAGCTGTTTTCATTTTCCTGTTCCTTCCCATCTTTGTTGCAGTGAACATGTTTTATCTATTCATCATCATAGTCGATGCACAGTTTTGTACTGGGCTGTTTTAAGTCACCAAAAACAATTCTCGTATTTTATGACGGTGTCATAATTATCTTTAATTGCTGCAGAACACACGATGGAGTAGATGAGTTGCTCATCAACATTCCTAACCATCGAGCGTGCACTAAGGAGGCCTGGTTTTCCAACCATTCCTCATGATGCTTAAATGTGGTGCTGGAATAGCGCTGGGCCTTCTAGGCAGGATGGCTGTGTATGCATCCTCGAGTTCTGGGAGCATGTCTCCTCCCTCCCTTCCCTCCCTCTTTCCTTCTCTCCTCCCTCCTTCCCTCTGTCTTTCCTTTCCTCCTCTCTCCCTCCTACTCTCCTTCCTCCCCTTCCCTCCTTCCATCCCTCCCTCCTTCATTCCTGTCTTTCTTTCTTGAAGTATAGCTGACACACAATGTCACATTAGTTTCAGGTGTACAACCCCGTGACTGGACAACTCTCTCCACTCTCTGTGACACTATGCTCACAAGCGTACCTACCGTCCGTCTGATATATGCAGTATTTGGCACCTAGCAGATAATAAATATTTACTGAATTTGATTTGGCCAAATCTCTCCAGCTGGCAGCATTGGGGTACAACAGAAGTTGCTCAATCAGAGGGCTGAGAGCCATCAGGGGGAGGGAGCAGGGGAAGGGACAGAGGCAAGGAAACAATGTGAACAAACAGCTCCCCCCAGGGAGAGGTTTGGCCAGGGGTTCCACTGGATACCCCTTTGCGGGAGCCACACTGGAAATCAGTGCCTGCACAGCAGCCTCCTGAATTGCCCTCAAGTTACCTTTAGCCTATGGGAGGGGTTTTCTGCCATTTTTTGAACATGCGGTGATGTATGCACCAGCTAAGCATGCGCAGTTGAACCAAAGCGCCTAAGTAACAGAAAATGTCTAAGTTCCTTAGTGTATCAAGCTGCTGCTGCTGCCCCCAGGACATTGCATAAAAGCTTCCTGCCCTAACCCCAAGAGGAGACAGTGCTCTGACAGCTATCTGCCTGTCTCCTTACTGGTGACAAGTAATAAAAGAACTTGGCTTTCGACACTTCCTCAGGTTGTATTCAATTTAACAGTGATCCCTGCCTACCCCGCCCCCCTCCCCCCACTCCGACGAGTCCAGGTACAGCCAGACACGAGGAAGGAAGACAAACTGAGTTGGTCACTGGGCATCTGCCAAGTGCTGGCTGATTTCTACACAGCCTCATATCTACCAGGTGCCAGTCCTGGTCCAGTGACTTGCACCAGCTCATCAAGAAGGAGGCAGAGCTTCCAACTAGGTGACGTGGCCAAGGCCACACAGCACACAACGACTGTAGCCCAGGCCTCCCTGAGAGGAAAGTCTGTTTTCCGGGATTAAGCTTTTTCCAAAGACGGAGGCTCTCTGGTTCTGTCCTATAGCCATGTCTCCATGCCCACCAGGGGCATGCAGGGGCTGGCAAGGGGTCAGGAGATGATGCAGTTCCAATCCTGGGGAAATCTATCTTCTGCCTTGTGAGCCAACTAAGAAAACAGGACCTTCTCAGTCTTTAGAGTGGTGCCAGACTGCTTAAGTCAGAGCAACAACAGTGATCACCTTTATCACCAGACCATGGTGAAGGATGGTGGGCCCTGAAGCCAGCTTTGAATCCAGCTCTGCTCTCCTGGGGACTCTGGGCAGTCAGCCAACCTCTGTGAGCTTCAGCTGCCTCATCCATAAAACAGGGAGAAAAACATTTACCTTATAGAGTGGTTGGGAGAATCTGGGACGATATGTAAGGAAGTGTCTTGCACAGTGCCTGGCACGGAACAAGAATATATAGCAGTAGCTGGATCAAATACTTTACGTGCTTCCTCAACCAGTTTATCTGTAGACCTAACATGGAACAGAACTGGGGCTGAAAGTCTAGGAGACTGTTTCCAGTGTCTCCTGTGTTTCTATCAGCTTCTATCAGCTGTGTGATACCCGGAAAAAATAAATAACACATCTATGACTTTTTAAAATTTTAACTGTTTTTCTTACCATAAAAGTCTTACATGCTCACTGTAGAAATTTCAGATGATGCATAAAGACAAAGGTGGAATGAAAACTCAATCATAATTTCAGCTCCCAGAGACAACTATGGATGGCATTTCTATGTTTTCATCCAGTCCTTCGGTGTTACATCATATATACATACCTGCAGTATCTCTAAAAACTATAATTATCATATTATTTATGCAGATTTAGACATTACTCAGAACAGGTGAAAAAAGCATTTCCCCATGAATGAATACTACCCACAAGCATGGTCTTTAGTGCTGTGAAATATGTCCCAATTCACTCAAATTCCCTACTGCTGGACACTCAGGTTCCCCAAGCCTACGACTTGATACTCCTTCCTGCTATCTCGGGCAGGACCAGCGGCTTCTCTTACCATGTACAAGAGAAAAGGCCAGCTCACGAGGTGCTTGGTGATGTTCTCGCCTGTCATCTTCTCGTGACTGTTAGGTGCGAATGTCACCAGCAAGTAGGTGCCCACAATGGCCAAACCGCAGCCAACGAAGGACAAGACATAGCGCCCTGCGGGGAAGGAGGGAGGCTATCACAGGCTCACTGCAGAAGTAGGCTTCAGGCCCGTATGTGTTTCTTTTTTCTTTCAAGACTTTATTTATATAGTTGACAGAGAGAAAGAAAGCACAAGCAGGGGGAGTAGCAGAAGGAGAGGGAGAAGCAGGCTCCCCACTGAGCAGGGAGCCCAATGCAGGGCTCCATCCCTGATATCATGACCTGAGCCGAAGGCAGATGCCCAACCAACTGAGCCACTCAGGAGGCACCCCCTGATCCCCTGGATGTGTTTTTAGGGCAACACATGATAATCTAATTTTTAAAGTAAAGAAAAACCCAAAATAGCAGGTCACCTCCCTTAGTGTTATTCAAAAAAAAAAAACATTTAATGTTAAAACATTTTAGTGAGATGTGGCATGTATACTAAAAAGTGCTCAATGAATTCTCACAAAGTGAAAATATCCATGTAACCAGCACCCAGATCAAGAAAGGGAACGTTAGCAGGATCCCAACATCCTCACTTGTGCCCCCTTCCAGTCACTAGGCCGCAGCACCAGGGTATGACCCTGACTTCTACCAGCCCTGACAGTTTGCCTGGTTTTGTACTTTCTCTGAGTGGACTCGTACTGTATGATTTCTTGCGTCTGTGTTCACCTATGTTTGTGAGTTTGTGAGATTCATCTGAATCCTGGCGTGGAGGGTAGGTGTCTCATGCCTGTATGGTGCGTGACACAATTTATCCATTCTGATGCTGATGGGTGTTTAAATACTCCCGGGATTATATCAAGTAACGTTGCTATGAGCATCCTTGTGCATGTCATTTGGAAAACATACTGTTTGAATTTCTGTTGGGTATAAAACTTGGAGCAGGAATTCCTGGGTCAGGGGATACAGCTTAGTAGTTACTATCAAATGGTTTTACAAACTGGTCGCACCAATTTCCACTCCCACTGGGAGCGCATCAGAGTTAAGACTGCCTTTTTCTTCTCCTTCATGGTAGCCATTCTGCTACTGCACTGTGGTTTGAGTACATTTTATGGGGAAGGTTTGAAAGTCAGAATCACTTTATGGGCGGGGCACCTGGGTGGCTCAGTCAGTTAAGCATCTGCCTTAGGCTCAGGTTATGATCTCAGGGTCCTGGGATCAAGCCCTGCAATGGGCTCCCTGCTCAGTGGGGAGCCTGCTTCTCCCTTTCCTGTCCACTTGTGCTCTCTCTTGCTATCTCTTTTTCTCTTTCAAATAAATAAACAAAATCATAAAAAAAAAAAGAGTTACTGTCTGGGCAATATAAAAAAAAACAAATATAATGAAACCTCACAAGCAAACCTTCAGAGCCTACCATGTACCTTATAAAAATGACCTTATCATTTCCCATCTGCTAGTTAACCTAGCCCCAAGGGACCAGTCCAAATACTATTAATATTGTATTCCATAGACCTGTCAGAGACTATTTGTGGGGCCGAAGCCCCAAGCCTAGCTACCCCTGTACTATACCCTCTGCCATCAGGACTACTGCAAATCACTCTGAGTCTTTTGGTCTTGGCATCATATATTTGCTGAGCAGTAGGTCTGCTTTTTTCAGTATAAGATTCTTTTCTCTTTTTGCCTCCTGGCCCCCGTCTTGCTCTTATCCTATACCAATGATCAGAACAGTGGTTCCCAAACCTGGCTGTGTGAGCCAGTTCATCTGGCTGCATGCCTAAGTTGCATGTTCTAATCTAGGTTGTAACCATGTTACCATGTAATGGTAACTTCTGACCTCCATGTTTTTGTTTCCCATTTGCTTTAGAACTCATTTTAGGTAAAGAAAGTGCCTTTTATCAGGTCTCCTAAAATCCCTACAATAGATGCGTAATAAATATTGATGGAATGGAATGAAATAAATTCCCTTTTTCAGAAGTCTCACAGATGATTCTATTGTGTAACCAGGTTTGGGAAATACTGATTTAAAAACCCAGCTCTCAGAAGCCTGATGAGGGTGGAATATAGAACACAGAGGGGAGCAGGAGACAGAGGATCTCTATATCGGGGTTAGCTGGGGTTTCTTTTTAAAGATTTTATTTATTTATTCTTGAGAGACATACAGAGAGAGGCAGAGATATAGGCAGAGGGAGAAGCAGGCTCCCCGTGGGGAGCCCAATGTGGGACTCGATCCCAGGACCCTGGGTACACAACCTGAGCTGAAGGCAGACACTCAACCACTGAGCCACCCAGGTACCCCTAAATTGGGGTAAGCTCGTTTTGTAATGAACGAACAGCACAAGCACAGAATTAAGAACAGGGGCTCAAATTGGTGAACTTACTCAGAAAGTCTTTAGGTTTCCATTTTTCTTTGATGAATATGATTCCTATGATGGCGCTAGCTATAAAAAAAGAAAAGAAAAGAAAAAGCACAAGGAAAAGAAAAGTGAGGCTGTCACCAGTTCAATGGAGTCCCTTTACCCAGGCCCGAGGGCTAACTCATTTGCTTTATACCTAGGTACTTCCTAACCTCTCCCTCCTACTCCCCAAAGCTCAGTCCTAGGCTCCTCTCTGAGCCTTCTTGAGGATTTCTGACAAGTCCAGGAGCACTGGTGTCAAGTGCTTGCAGTGTGACAGCTATTTCTGGCACATCTACCCATCTAGGTGGATGCCGTTATTATTCCCATTTGAAAAACGGGACATTGGGGCTAGGAGAGGTGAAGGATCCACTTGGGACCATGCAGCTGGTAAGGACTGCCAGGGGCCAGGGCTCTAGCTTCTTCCACTGCCATGACTATCTGACACTTTGTCCTGGCTCTTCTGTCTCCCTCTCAGACTTCCTGGTCACTGCCCTAGGGGTTGGGGCTGGCAGTCACTGTGGACCGACCTGGAGGCCTATTTCAGCACTGCCTCTTCCGGCTGTTTGTCCTTGGGTGTCACTACATGTGAGTCTCAGTCTGGATCCAGCTCAGGCCTGCTCGCTGCTGGTTAAATAGTCAGGAAACCGCTGTGGCATGAGAGCGGCCACGGTGGCAGTCTTTATGGTCTTTACGCCATATAAATCAGAAACACTACAAATGAGGTCTTCCTTTTATCCTTTCCTACTTTTCTGCCCCTTTCTTCTTTTCCCGCTCCCTCCCTTCTCCCGCCGCCTCATCCTCTTCTTTTTCTTCTCCCATTTTTCTCCCGTTCTCTGAATGTTGATTCATCAGCACACCACTGAAAACACCTCCTTCTCTGGGTTATTAGGGCAATTAAATGAGATAATGCACGTCAATCATGTGTCACACAGTAACTGCTCCATAACTGAGCCATTATTATCATGAAAGTACCTGGAATAGTGACTGATAAGTAATAGGTATCTAACAAATGGTGGTTATTACTTGAATAATTATTTATTTTTAATATTGTTTTTTTCCTGGGTGACTGAAAAAGCTCTGAGGGCCCCTTAATTTCTAGTGGTTGATACCTGAGAACCCATCATTCAACTCCAGTCTCTTATTTTTAAGAGTTTGATTATTTGAATTACTAAATTATTACAATTCAGAGGCAAATATTTAAAGCACTTAGTCCCTCGGTCACCTATTTCTCATTGTAAGGGGAGGTTCTGGTGACTTTTCCAAGGTCAGTGAACCTTGATCTTTTCTCACTAATACACTAATACAACAATAAAGCAGGCTAGAGAGGACAGCAAGTGAAGGCCGGGACTGGGGATGGCTACCTGCCTCAACTAAAGGCATTCAGATTATGTTGTATTTCTATTTATTTATTTATTTATTTATTTATTTATTTATTTATTTATTTATTTATCTATCTATCTATCTATCTATCTATCTATTCTTTTTTAAAGATTTTATTTATTTATTCATGAGAGACACACAAACACACACACATACACACAGAGAGAGAGAGAGAGAGAGAGAGAGGCAGAGACACAGGCAGAGGGAGAAGCAGGCTCCATGCAGGGAGCCTGATGCGGGACTCGATCCTGGGTCTCCAGGATCACACCCTGGGCTGAAGGCAGCACTAAACACTGAGCCACCTAGGCTGCCCTTTTTTTAATTTTTTTAAAAAATTCTTCCTTTAAATTCATTTAGCTAACACATACTGTGTTGTTAGTTTCAGAAGCAGAATTTAGTGACTCATCAGTTGCATATAACGCCCAGTGTTCATCCCGTCACATGCCCTCCTTCATGCCTGTCACCCAGTTACCTGTTTCCCCTGGACCCTCATCTCTCTGATCAGATCAGCTTTTAAAACAACATCATGTGGAAAACAACACGGTGTGTCTGAGGACCTCACTCATCTTTGTGGGCTGCCAGGGTACAAACCCTGGTCAAGAAAAAGACGGACTCTTTATGGGATTGGAAAAAGCAAATAGGTTTCCGGTTCTTTGCCAAGTCCTAGTAAGTGGTGAGGCTGCTTGAATCTCTGAGAATTCTCACTCAGGGACACTCTGATTGATGATGTCTTCCATGGGCCCGGAAGGGGTGTGTGGTTGCTGTACATATCTGCGCCATAGAAGAGGTTCTCTGAAGTCCAAGAGAAAAAAAACTACTCAAAATACCACTTTCCCCTTTAAAAGCAGGGAAGAGTTCAAGAGAGTGTGGGGCCTGCCAGCAAATGGAAGGAAACATTTCAACTCAAGTTCACTGTCCCCACTCCTATGTTCACTAATCTATTAACATTTTTTATTTAAGAAGAGAAGATTTTTTTTCCCCTAATTCTACTTGATATGTGGAATATGGACATCAAAGCTCCTTTGACTTTTCATTGGTTCAAAAGTTCTAAGACACTGGTTCTGGGATTGCAGAAATCACAGAGAAATGGCAGGTGAGAACGTGAACAATGCTTTGGAGATGGAATCAGTTGATGTAAAAAGATCAGGGAATTAGCTGAATGGGCATCTGTTAGAGCTATGAGATGTCTGAACCCTATGAAAGCTTGGGTTATCTTGACAGTGTTCAGATGAAAGGTGCAAGTTTATATCTTCCTTCCTCAGGAGAAATAGAAAGCAATTCTAGACTCTCTGAATCTTAAACAGATTAGGGAGCCAGACCATCCTGTGCCTCAGCCCTGCCCCGCTGTGCCCCTGTTTCCTCATCTGTAAAATGGGGATAATGATAGTATCACCCTCAAAAATGAGGATGAGAAGAATTAATATCTGCAAAGCATTGAGCACAGGGCCCGTGTATATGGACCCTTTGGAGGTATTAACGACATTACTAAGCAAAAGCTGCTTTGTCGAACTAGTATGGGGCTGGCAAGGCAGGAGGGTCCCAGGGAGTGATGGCGGGGCGCCCGGTCTTACCTATCACAGAGACGGCGCTGAGAGGCACAATCAGCGACAGTGGGGCAAAGGCGTAGGAGGCAAACACGCCCAGCTCCCCCAGCAGCATCAGGAACAGGCCCAGCCACCATGTTTTGGTCTTGAAATAGGCCCGGGGATCCTTGGAGCCTGCCAGGCGAATGTGGCAGTACTTCTAGAAATCCGAGAAAGAAAGCAATTTGACCAGATATTTGGGTAAAAGATGCTATGACGTATGCATCCTAAATCTACGCGCCCCAACCCCACATACACTTTTATTTGGGAAGACTTGTCAGGTTTTCTTCTGGGGTCCTGGTTCAGAGAAGAGGCAAGCAGTTGCCATCTCAATACTGGGTTGTCACTCTAAGGACAGCAGTTCTCAAACTGGCGCTGGGAAGCCTCAGAAACTCCCCAGGAAGCTGTGGAAAAAATACAGGTCTCCACTTCAGGGGAGGTGTGGGAGAGGCCTGGAGATGTGCAATTCTAGTGCAAAGCACAGAAGCATGCAGTCTGGAGTGGGAGCCGGGGTCTAGGATGCCCATGTTCACCCGGCTTCAGGTTTAGTGTCTCCCTCTAACTGCAATGCCTCCGAGACCCGATGCTAGGGGAGCTGGGAGCTCCGCTGGGCTGCCCAGGGTATTAGTGGACCCTGCCCTCCCTCAGGTGGATACTCGGCCCAAGGTTGGCCAATAGATTTTGTTCTGGAAATGTGCCCTTGGGACACAAAAAATGGGGTGGTGACCAAGGAAAGCAAGGCAGTCATGTTGGCTTAGAGAACCACAGCTGCCATTTGGGAGGGAACATGATGAAGGCTGCAGGGAAGCAGATGCAGAAGCAGAGACACCAGTCGTAGAAAGAAGAGCATGAACCAGACAAGTGGCCAAGAGACCACGTGGCCTCAGAAACACACAGGACCACTCTGGCACATGTGTGTGCGAGGGAGCCGAGATGTACCAGGTACCCATGTATGTTCATGTCTCTGATCCAGGGAGGGAGAGCACTTTACCATAACTAGAAACGGAATAGTACCAGTAGAGAGGAGGTGGCCAGGGTGCTGGAGGACTTATCCTGTCTGCAGGTGTCAAGTCTCTGTCTGGGTGTCCCAGAGTGGTCCCTGAGACAGTACTTGGGAGGAGGCAGTTGATTTGGGAGGTGATTCCAGGAGGCACAGTAAGGGGGTGGGAAAGTGAGCCAGAGAAGGGAGGGTGCACTAGTTAGGGAGTCAGTGCCCTGGGCAATGGGGCTCATCCCACTGGGGACCCTCTGGGAAACCCCTGAACTCAGCTCAGAACCAAGCTACCAGAGGCTGGAAGCCTGGGGCATTTATCCATTGGCTCCCTTCCCCCTCTGGCTGAAAGCTGCCCCAGGGGCTTTAATCACGAGGGCTGCCACCCAATTCACACCCAGAGCTTCCCAGTTACACCTGTATACCAGGTGAGGCAGTTCCCGGGGTGCCCCAAGGAGCTCCTCAGTCTATCAGCTTGCTCCAAACCACAGCTGCTTGCCAGCTCAGACAAGCCAGTGGGCTCAGCTGCTCCAGGGCACCCCAGGGACTTCTAAGGGACAGAGAGTACTGTCATCTGACTTGACAGGTGATGGGGGGATGATGTGGGGGTAAAGAATCAAGAAAGATTCTGGAACATCACACAAGGTACTCTCCTAGGGCGCAGCCCAGGAGTGGAGGAAGCAACATCCCACAGAAGGGGACAGCTGGGGCCTGCACCAGACTCCCGGCCGATTGGCTGTGTCTCTGCCCCCAGACGGACAGCACTGGCCACCGTGCCCGCAGGTGGACGGCGCTGGCCACCGTGCCGGCAGACAGACGGCGCTGGCCACCGAGCCCCCAGATGGACAGTGCTAGCAACTAAGACTTACCTGCAGGTTAAGTGCAATGCTGACCACAAGGTGCCCGAAAATTGCCAAAAGGGCGCCGATCAAGTTTTCCTGAAAAGAAAGTTCAGAGGAGCAGATGTGAGCTGAGTCTAAGCTAAAGGGCCCTGGAGGCACAGATGAAGCCCCACAGTTCGCTGTCCCAAAACAAAACTAGAGAAACATCCACCACAAAGCACACCCCAGACCTCCTCTTGGAGTTTTACTACCCAAGGTCAATGCTAGTTTACAAAACACTGCCCTGAGTTGGACACTTCCAGAAGGCTCTGTCCTTTGCCCATTAGTCACATGATGAGGCCCAAACCTGCCCTGCTCTACCTTATTGCACAGACTCACTGCAGCCCTGTACAGGCAAGCAACATTCAGAAATCAGAATTTACAAAAGAAAACACAGGTGGGGATACTATTGGCTATTTTAATCAATGGAGTCTTCATGTTCCTATGAAGGGAAGGGGTCTCAATGAGACTCTTTAAACTGGCTAGTTTGCTTAGGCTATTTTTAATTATTTCATTTAATAAACATTTAATATCCGTCACCTTAAAAATAAGATTCAGATTCTTTAGCATGGCATCTTCTTTTAACTTTAAAAGACAATTCTCAAACATATATTCATTGTACAATAATTAGGAAATATAAAGAAATGACAGAAAGGATGACAGTCACCACAATGGTCTTGCAGTCCACCCAGAAGACAGGTCATTAGCACACAATAAGGCAGGAAGCCAACCCTCTGTCCCCTCTTCCCTCTCCCCTGGAATGCTGAGGGCCTAGACAGCTAAGAAGGTAGTGGGCTGTGGGTGAGGGTAGGAGGAGGGAGGGGGTGTCTGCTGATGGAAACCACCATGGCTGTCCTTGACTTTGCCCCAGCAAGGTGCAGTGTTGCAGAATAAAGGAAGGACGTTGAGCCGGTTCTAATTCCAGCTCTGCTGCCTCGTCACTGCATGACTTTGGATGAGTTTCTTCCCCTCATCAGGCGTGTGTGTCCTTGTCTGGAAAATGTAAATGCTGGCCCACATTACCTCCAAAGGACCTGCCAGCCCCCACTGAAGCCCCTGGTTAGAGCCAGACTGCCAACAGAAGCCAAGTAAAGGACCAGGCCAGACAGGAAACTGATTTTTGTTCATTTCACTTTATAAAAACAATTCAACACTGGGGGCATCTGAGGGACCCAAAGAAACTGGCTTCTACTTCTTCCCAAGATGGCTCTCATAGCTTGAGCTGCACTTCCTTGGTCCTTCTCCATCTCTTTATGTGTTTTTGTTGTGTCTCTTCTCAGACTGAATTAAGCAGAAACCATGTCCCTCCTATAGGCTCACAGGATCTCAGAGCTGAAATGGTAGTTAAATAAGTTTGGGAAATACTGGATCCTCAGTCCACTGCTTGGAGGCCCATAATGTGCTGACAAGTTAGGGGCTTTCACAGGCTGGTCCCTCTTGGCCACCCCAGGTGTCCCAAACCTATGTGGCTCTAGAACTCTTAGTCTGCAAACATCTGTGATGCTCACCCCATCATGTTCCTTTTCTTCTGGTAAAAGCATCCTGATTTTGCTGTGGAGCACTCCTCCTTGCCCCTAATTCCCCCTCGTAAAGTCTTGTTGGGACTGTTTTTCTGAGTGTTCCATCCTCTCCTGGACCATGATGGGCCTATGACCCAAACTTGACCCAAGCCAAGCAGGTCAGAAACTCTCTCTGGGGTCCAAATCTTTTTTATTTTTTATTTTTTAAAGAGAGAGAGTGTGTGAATTGAGGCAGGCAGGGGCAGAAGGACAGGGAGACAGAGTGAATCTTAAGGAGGCTCCACACTCAGTGCTCAGCATGGAGCCAAATATGAGGCTTGAGCTCACAATCCTGAGATTATGACCTGAGCTGAAATTAAGAGTCCGATGCTTCACCAATTGAGCCACCCAGGTACCCCTCTGAGGTCTCAATCTTGAATAGAGAACTATGAAGGCTGAAAGAAGTCTGGGGTCATTGCTGCCCAAGGCCAGTCCTAGGCAAGTCAGGCCCTTGGAACCATCCTGGTGCCTGTGACTTCCAGAAGCTCACAGAAGTGGAATCATGCAATGGTTGTCTGTCTGTGACTGGCTTACTGTCTTAGTCAGTTTGGGCTGATCTAACAAATACCACAGACTGGGTGGCTTAAACAGTAAACATTTATTTCTCACAGTTCTAGAGGGTGGGAAGTCCAAGATCAAGGTTTTGCCTGATTCTGTTCCTGCTTAGAGTTTTTTCCTGGTTTACAGATGGACACCTTTTCAGTGTATCCTCACATGTCAGACAGAGATTATCCCCGTCTTGTATCCCTTCTTATAAGGGCACTGATCTCCGTCAGGAGGGCTCGTGTGACCCCTTCATGACCTAATGATCTCCCAAAGGCCCTACTTCCAAAACGTCATGTTGGGGATTAGGGCTTTAACATATAAATGGGGGGTGATTCTGACAAACATTTAGCTCATAGCACTTACCTTACTTAGCATTATGTCTTCAAGGTTCATCCATGTTATCACATATTGCCAGATGTCTTTCTTTTACAAGGATGCATAATATTCCACTGTATGTATACACGTCAACCTATCCTTTTATCACTCATCTATCAATGGACATTTAGGTTATTTCTATCTCTTGACTATTGTGAATAGTACTGCAATCAATAGTGAAGTGCTGTTATCTTTTTTAGATCCTGATTTCAATTCTTTTGGATCCTGTCCAGAGTCTTGACCTGTCAAATTATGAGCAGTAATATGGTTTCTGTTTTTAAATATAGGTCTTCAGGTGGTTTGTTACACAGCAATTGTTACACAGCAATAGCTAACTGATACATTTCCTTAATAAACCAGGGTTGCTTAATGATCCAGCAATTTTTGACTGGGACTCAAGACCTGATTCTATCCCAGATATTCATTAATAGGTGACCTTCATCTTCCATCTGATTCAAGTGTGTATGATTCTACTACTTGATTCCGCCAACCCCTTTCTTTGCCCAGCTAAGGTATTTTAATGTCTTCCCATTTTAATGCCTGCCTCTCTAAATGTACTTTAAGGCCATTCTATAAACCTAACATACCTTTATTTAATCCATCATTACACTTTTTTTATTGAGGTAAAAATTCACAAATCATAAAATTTACCATTTTGACCTCCTTAAAGTATTCCATTCAGTGGTTTTTGGTATATTCACAATGTTATGAGGGATGTCATTGAAAAAGTGGTGGAATAGAGAATTTTAGGAACCCATCCCTTCAGAAAAACAACTAATAAACTGGCAAAACCCATCAGAATCACATTTTTGTATAACTCTGGAATCTAGCCAAAAATGTATAACAATCAGAGGAAGGCAAGGTGAAGAAAGAAGCTGTTGCTTTATGGTATGAAAGCACTGTGGCATTTTAAATTGCCTGCTTCCCATCCCTTACACCCCAGAATTCTGGCAGCCACAAGGACACAGAGAGAGCAATACATGAAACGTATTTTTTAAAATCTGTGTTTACGGTTCTGACCTGTCTGGTGACCCCTGATGGATTGGCACAGGGCTCGTCTTTGTTTTGTTTGACGTGGAGGGATACCAGGGCTGGTGTCAGCTTCCCAAGTTGTTTATGGTCAACACCTTTAAAGGTACAAGTATTGGCTGTGTAATAGTTTGGGGCAAGGGACAGTACTCAGAATGAGCAATAGACAGAAGGAAAAGCTGGGTCAGGAAGTCTGGGAAAGGAGATACATAAAGGATAAGAGCTTTCTTAAGTCTCCACACATACTGAGGAATTGAAAAGGCCAGGCATATAGCAGGGTCGGATGCGTGCCTCAAAAACACTAGGCTTCATCTGTGGCTGGCCTTCAGGCTGGGTGCAAGCAGGGAGCAAAGGCTAAGGCAGAGTGAGTGGTAAATGGCTTGGCTAAGCATTGGAAGGCCCCAACACACAGCCAATCTGCAAAGACTTGGAGAATCTTGGGAGGATTTTTTTCTTTTTTTGGCCCTAGGTAGTTAAGGAAACTGTCAAAACACAAGCTGATCACCTAACAGGAATAGATTTCATCAGTCTGCATACAACAGAGGACACAGACTTTACAAAAAGAGTTTAGAAAAATCACAAAACAAGAAACACTAACAAACTACAACAAGCAACAACAACAAATGGGGTGCAGATCTGTTTTCTACAGTTGCAACATATTTAAAATGACCAGTTTTCATCAGTGTTATACACACCATTCTCCAAATGCGGAGCATTTCTGCTATCCCAAAAAAGAAACTCCAAACCCACTAGCAGTCCCTCTCCACTCCCCATCACCCTGGCCCCTGACAAACACTAATCTATTCCCTGTTTCTTTGGATTTGCTTGTTCTGGACAGTTCATATAAATGGAATCCTACAATATGTGGTCTTTGTGTCTGTATTTTTTTTTATTACCAAGAATAACATTTTTAAGGTTCATACATTATGATATGTACTAGTACTTCATTCCTTTTTATGGCCAAATAATACTCCACTATATGGATATAACACATTTCATTTATCCATTCACCAGGTACATTTGAGTGATCTCCACTTTCTATCATAAATAATGTTAACATGCTTATACAAGTTTTCATACAAATACATTATTTTTGATTCTCCTGGGTATCTTTAGTGTCTAATTTTTTGGGGGGAATTGTCAAACTGTTTTCCATAGTGGCTGTACCTGTTTATTGTCCCACCTATGGAGGATTCCAATTTCTTCATATCTTTGCCGACACTTGTTATTTTCCTTTTCATTTATTTTTTACGTTTTAAAGATGTGTTTATTTTATTTTTTATTTTTTATTTTATTTTTATTTTTAAAAGATCTTTTTTTTTAAAAAAAAAAAGGATTTTATTTAGTTAGTCATAGACACAGAGAAAGAGAGGCAGAGGGATCCCTGGGTGGCGCAGCAGTTTGGCGTCTGCCTTTGGCCCAGGGTGCGATCCTGGAGACCCGGGATCGAATCCCACATCGGGCTCCCGGTGCATGGAGCCTGCTTCTCCCTCTGCCTGTGTCTCTGCCTCTCTCTCTCTCTGTGACTATCATAAATGAATAAAAAAA